CTAGTAAATGATGGAAGAACGCGACTCGAGAGATTGAAAACCTCCCAGAAACTTTCCTCATGGCGAATGGTGAGCAAACAAACGTATGCATATTTTTATGCGGCTCCCTATTCAGTCAAGTGTATCTATCTTCACACTGTTATTTGGTACACTCGTAACGTAGTGGTTAGCGGTGTCTTGCTATATACACCTAGTCATTGGTTCGATCCGACACCCCTGCTAAATCAGGTCCCTTCCTCCACCACTTCTCCAGGTTGTCAAATTCGTGCCAGACTTTTCCTGGTGGATAAAAACAGTGACTTCATACACTACATTACAAAGGGTACTGCAAAATATTGTGCAAGCCAAATTTGCATTCGACCATCTTTACGATGCTGAATCGAGTCGAAGGAATAAAGCATGGTGTTAACCAGTGTTCCATCCATTAATATAACTTCGTAAAACTTTTTAGTACCTTAAGCAATGAAGCCCATCACAAGCTCTGTGGCCCACGGCTCCTGTTCTTAAAAAACTGTTTTCAAAATGCAACAGACTATCATGCTTTTTTTAAAAATAATTTCCGATAATTTTCGATAACGCAGGTAGTTGCAGAGGACTTAGTAGGTTTTGCTTGGCCGCCTTATTTACTTACTTGGATACTTGAACGACCCGTTCTCGCTTGTTATGCGGGCCCTCAGCACAATCTCCATTTTTCGGAGTTTTGTTGGCTTGAGCATTGTGTTTCCCTGGAGTCCCGAGGTCACCCTGGAGTCCCGAGGTCAGTCTGGCCAAAGTTTGTCCGAGGCCGTCATCACCACAGGCAGTCGCCGCTCATGTGGATCAGAGGAAGATTTGCCACCATGCGATTAGTTTGATACTAGGACGGTGATTGATCGTGGTATTAGTTTACTCTTAATTGGAATTCCTGATGGAACGTCCGACTCCTTCGCAACTTGGGAGGCCCTGCCACGGGGATGAATCCCCCATTGTACATCGCAACCCGACACGCATGAACACCTCTTAACCACAATGATGCGGTAAACCGTTGGGAAGCAGCTGCTTCAAAAGCTCAGAAAAGCTCTCGGCGTTGATCAAACTCTGAGAGATGCGCCATGCATTCGATTTCATTAAGCTTCGCTTGGATGTGATTAAATGCCTATTTAGCCTTTACAATGACTCGCGGCGGCCTACCGATATATCGAGCCAGTGCTGCTATCCTCCTAGACAAGTCTGGTACTAATTTGCCGACCCCGAGGGGATGGAACGCTTTGTGGGCCATGGCCGTAGAGATCGATTCCACGTGCGTGCCGCAGTGGCGCCTCCAACCACTGCGCCACACGCGCCCCTATGTGTATATATATATGTATATATATATATATGTATATATGTATATATATATAATATATATATATATATATATATATATATGTACACTGGCTTGATTCGTCGGTAACCTACCGCGAGTCACTGCATAGGCCAGGTATGCATTCAATTACCTCTAAACGATGCTTTGAAGCCGAATGCATGGCGCATCCCTCAGGGATTGATCAACGCCGAGAGTTTTATCCTCTAATTTTCAAATTTTAAACAGCTTTAGAATTAAAGTTCTCAGGAAAAAACGAAAACATGGTTTGGACTATTAAAATTTTCAACGCAGCGACGATAGGTGATAGGGTTGGTAGTACATGAGAGTAGAACTACCTCGTGAAATGCAGTCCATCCAATAGTTTCGGTGCTCTAAGTACGAGCTTTGACAATGAAAAAGAGAAAAAGTGTGTTTGGTGGAGAAGTAGATCTCTATACTGATAAGATGAGAAAACCCGCACTTTTTGGTAAGGATTTGTGGATTTTAATCGTCTCCTTTTGTGTAATGTTTAATATGGTCTGACACATGTTGGTTTAGACTCTAAACGGTCATTAATTTTGCACGATACGCACGGAAATCAGTGCATGCTTCTTCATATATCAAACATGTCGTTTTGAAGTACAGACCTGATTATCTAAACGGAGAAGAACAGTAACTGCCCATTATCAATCAGTTCGCTACTGAAAATGGATAGATCTCTTTTCCATAATGGGAGGACAACAATACAGTGTGGTATATCAGAAATGACAGGTCATTATGGTGACGTTCACATTTTCAAGTAAACAAAAATTGTATCGACTATCACATGTACGGAAGTCACTACGATACAGAGGAGTATATGTGCGACAGAGAGATGTGATATGATGATATTATGAATTCTGACAAGTGCAAATACACAATAATGATGTAAATGTGAAAAATGATAGTTAGATTTGCTCGCGATTGCTGAAAAAGAACACGACGCATTTATAACCCACTGTCGAGGTTAATGGAAAGTCGATCCTAGGAACTGATAGTAAGATTCTCTACTATATATATGTATATATATATATATATACATATATATAGTAGAGACATATATACATATATATACATGTGTATATGTACATATATATAGTAGAGAATCTCACTATCTTATCTACTATATGTATGTATACATATTCGTGTGTTTATATATATTTATATGATTGATAATAAAGTAAACAAATAAACACTATAACTTTGCGATAATACAAGAGGAACAAAGCGGTGAAATCGTATTGGAGAAGGATACAAACTAAAATATAACGGAGTAAGAGGAAATCAAGACGTAAAACACAATACGTGCTAATTATTTCACTTTATTTCTTTTCTATTCTATTTTCTTTCCCTCTTCTTTTTTTTGGTTGTTTCATTGAAGGCAGCTAATGTTTGCAGTGTTCGCATTTAGGATGATAATAGTAATGACCTCCTTTACATGTTTCGAAACAAAAATTGGTGGGAATTGATTGCTTCGTACGAATAGAATGAAGAAGTTCACCAGCGACGCACTGAACTGGACGAAAAGCAAAGTCCTAAAATAAAAGAACTCAATAAAATATTGAGTTATCATATCGAAATAATAATGTTTAGACTAACATATGTAGCAATACATGCTTATGCATTCCATAACGTATTCCAGCATATGGAAGGCAATATTCTTTCAATGATGAGCTAACACAAGGATAAGCTCGTAGATCGTATAACAACAGTATGATGCTGTTCGCGTGAACCGAAGCGGTTATGTAACTCTCACAGTCAACGAGACAGCTATTAAAACAATCGTCATGTATAAAAAAAACATTGCCGCGTGAGGTTGCTTCGTTCAAGTGGCAATACACAAAAGAAAATCCACCTCGATGTGACAACGAAGACACCACTTCGAGAGAACATCGAAACACAAGAACTGTTAACATCGACTTGGTTCACCAGCACTGAGGAAGATCAAGACGTCGAAACGTTAGCCGAATAAAATTGTTTACCAACCTCGTGTTGGCTTATAAACGGAAGAATACATTATTTTTTTATATGACCCGCCTTAACGCCTGTTGTGCAGATCCCAGCAATTTTCACATTCGATTCGTTTCCTCCCATCCATTGTACGCGAAGATCTTCCAACTTTTATGTGTGGCTTCAGTTGCTGTTTGAGGATTTTCATTTCATGCTGAATGCCCTAGAATGTTGATCGAGCAATTCTCCTTGGAGTCCTGAGATAACCGGGCTGAAGCGGTTCCAAATAGATTGCAGAAAGTGGACTTGTTCCCAGACAAGTCCAGTACCAATTTCTCGACCCTGGAGGAAAGAGAGGCTTGGTGGGCACGCAACGGAATCGAACTAGTAGCATGTTCGTGATTATGGATATCACTATCACTGTGATATCCGCCCCTGGAAGAAAGAGAAATAGATCGGTCGATGTGCTCCTCTGCCGAAATTCTGCTTAACCTTATACGGAATTTTTGAATTCGTTCCGAAACATTTGCATTGTTAATGCGAAACACAATCCATGCGCTTCGTTGCAAACTTGAAGCTCTCCTCAACATAGATTTATTCATCAATACAATAAAGGTTCTCTGTATATTTCACATTTTCATTGATAATTTATTAAAATAAGCCTGATAAAATCACTTATACGTACTTGCAGTATACCCATTTAGTCCGTTTACCCCACTTTAACAAGATCTTGCGTCCCTGTATGGGGAGCAAAAACCTGTCCAGGAACAGTATCCTAGGATTCATAGAAAGATTAATGTCCATGGTCCAGATATGGTAGCACACTAAAAGAGCGATCCCTAAATTCGAAAGAGAATGAAGTCGAAAAGCATTCAACTGTCATGAAGGCGACAAAGTCCTCAAATGAAGGTTGAACGTCATGAATTACTCATGATTGACAACGAACCGAATGAATGAAGTGCGTGACCCATACAATGTGTGATAGGGTAATTTATTATTATTACTACTGTTATTATTATTATTATTATTACTATTACTATTAATATTATTATTATTATTACTAATACTTCTACTACCATTATTATTATTACCCCTACTACCACTGTTAGTGACAAATTCACAAATTCATTGCTTTTTGAGATCAGGTGTTCTTGGCTACTGTAAAGAATACCTCCAACATTTCTCATTCAACACTTTCTCAAAACGTACTTTAGATCGACCTGCTTCCTACCTAATAGTACTGATGCAAAATCTCCCACAAAATTCCTAGTTGAAATAAAAGGTATGATTTGATTATTAGACTTCACAGACAAGAAAAATTTTTAAAAAACCAGATTGATTAAACCGGAATAGGTTGTTACGAAGCAAAACATGGATAGAACAGTATGAATCGCAGCCCGCGAAGAAAAATGTTTGGAAACAAGCAACCCATAAAGTCAAAACGTGAGTTGCAAAGCCACTGTATAGAAAATTAAGACTATTTAGAAATAAAAAAAACGTGCCATATCATAACTTGAACGACAGCATGAATTTCCAGAAGCGTTACTACAGAAAGGAGTGTTTGTAGGTAAAACCAACATGCTAGTTCCCCTTTTTGCACCTGAAGAAGTGTTTTAAGTAAACGTGAAAAAAATTATTAATAACCAGCAAAAGATAAAGACAAATGGAAAGATTGAAAAAATAAAGTTTACTTTTGCTGCGAATAAGAAGTCATTAAGAAAACACAGATAAAAGACTTCCCTAAACCAGATCCACGGAGAAATTCAGAGGAAACTCCAGAATTTCGAGTAGGACATTTGGAGTCGTTCACGAGATTCTCAAAACTTCCAATCTAAAGTCGAAAAAAGATTTGGAGAAAAGCTATTCGACAAAACGAGAAAGATCATAACGTTTATCATTACATTTCTGGTCCTGAAGGAAGAATAATCGTTCCTATGCATCCGCGCAGTAGAAGTTCCATCATTCAAAGTAGCACGAGCAAATGGGTGATCATTGGAAAAAATTGAAAGATCTTCCAGCCGACTACTCTTGTAAGGCCCATCACCGAACAAAACATACTCCTCCACATACAATTTTTTCCCCGTTTTCCGAAGAACCACACTGCCTTCCGATTTCAAACTAAGAGAATCATGAGGACACTTTGTTTCACAGCGTTCTACCGCAGCAATACTAAAATATTGTTGGTTCATAGTCTTGTCGGTGAACGATCCGTCTCCGTGGAGAATGTCGGAGTCCTTAGGCCGCTTCGTTTCATAGCGCTCACCTTTGCTCATGATGTAATCTTGCTGGTTCATAGTCTTGTCGGTGAACGATCCATCTCCTTTAAGAATCTCGGAGCCCTTAGGCCGCTTCGTTTCATAGCGCTCACCTTTGCTTACGACATAATCTTGCTGGTTCATAGTCTTGTCGGAGAACGAACCGTCTCCTTTAAGAATCTCGGAGTCCTTAGGCCGCTTCGTTTCATAGCGCTCGCCTTGGCTCATGACATAATCTTGCTGGTTCATAGTCTTGTCGGCGAACGATCCGTCTCCGTGGAGAATGTCGGAGTCCTTAGGCCGCTTCGTTTCATAGCGCTCACCTTTGCTCATGATGTAATCTTGCTGGTTCATAGTCTTGTCGGTGAACGATCCATCTCCTTTAAGAATCTCGGAGTCCTTAGGCCACTTCGTTTCATAGCGCTCACCTTTGCTCATGATGTAATCTTGCTGCTTCATAGTCTTGTCGGTGAAAGAACCGTCTCCCTTAAGAATCTCGGAGTCCTTAGGCCGCTTCGTTTCATAGCGCTCGCCTTGGCTCATGATGTAATGAATGTCGGAGTCCTTAGGCCGCTTCGTTTCATAGCGCTCACCTTTGCTTACGACATAATCTTGCTGGTTC